ATTTTCCATACTTCGTATGTTGGTACATGAATTGTTTTGATTATGATTTAAACCTGTAAAAAGCTATCGTTGCTTTAGCAGAGAGGTGACGTGTGTTAATTTAAATGATGCAACGTGTAAGATTTTGATTATTAATCATAATTTAAGTTATCCCAATTTTCGACAAAATGTCGATAGAGGAAGAAAAGAGCCTTAAAATATGCTTTTTATTTGAAGCTTTTAGCTCAATTTTGAAGGATGTTACATACATTTTTGTAAATTCAAAACAAATCTTACACGTTTTCTCATAATCTATTATGATATATATTCGTATTTTTCGTTTTTTGGGTTCCCGTTTTTTGACCGGGTACCGGGTACCAAGTTTGAACCCAGCATGGAGGATTTACTACCCGGTACCCGTGTTTTTCTACAAACCCTTTCTAGATATCAGCGTCCATTTATTGTAACTCGCGTTTGCTAATATTTGCTCAGTTCTGAGATGAAGGCCACACGGGTAGTAAAAAGGCCAACGTTGGAACTATTTGTGACCTACATCCCTATTGTCGAAATTAAAATGAAAGTTGAACCTTTCCCCTTTATTTTGATACCAAACAACAGCATGCTAGGTACTTAAAATTAGGTAAACTTTACTCCTCAAAAGTGCAAAAACTTAGCTTCTTATAAAAGATAAGATAATCACAATATAGGGGATTGCAACAATTTCGGAAATTCGCGGAGGTCAAAGCCACATTTGCGGGACTTCGCGGGACATTGCGGGACACGCGAATTAGCCTAATTTTGATCAAATTCGCGGGATAATCCCGCCATTCGCGGGACACTTGACAGCTCTGGGAGCCCCACATTTGTGTCTGTACTCATGGAAGTAAATTCCCCGGTGTAGCCGAGAGCCACAAACTTTCAACAGGTTCGAAATGGCCAATTTCTCTCATATATACTCATATTTTATTAATTATCACCTTCAAAGTATTGCTAATAACTATATGTAATTTCAATAAGGAAACTTATCTGGCTACATGTAAATTCAATATCAACACTAAATGTTCGCTCAACACGTCCTGGCTTACCTTGTGATGACAAACCCTGGGTTTTCGCTATTTATAGTTTATCAACACCTGGACGCATGCGCATTTTATAGTTTATCAGGCACTTTAAGGACAAAATACAATCCAGCACCTATAGGATTAGTCAAGTCCACTAGAACGGTTATAATTCAGTCGAAGTTTTTCAAATGTATAAATAATATTTGTTAAAAGGGAAATCTGTTAACGCTGTTAGGAATGTTACCCATCTATTTGTTTTCCGGATTTTCACACCCAACCCCTCCTCAAAAATGTGATGGGAAAAGTTCAAATATGTGAATGAACTCAGCTAAATCGTGAGCACGTTAGAACCTCTGACAATATAAGTATGATGATATGAATATTCATGAATTAGAAAGACTTCATACATGTCAAAACATTGTCACTTCAAAGAATTATAGCCAACTGCTAGCCTGTCAACTAACATGCTGACTATAGCACAGTTCCGTAAGAAATATAAAAACTCTAAAAACCAACACTTTTCGAATTACGATGTCTCTAAAAATATAAGACCAATAGACTAGATGTGAGTAGAAATAATCTTGATTTACGTCACTAAATATTCAAAATTCAGTCAATAAGTGATGTCATATTTGAAATCTACATGTAAAAGTACATCTAGAAATATGGTTTCGAAAATTGTTTATCAACTTTGAAAATGTGATTTCTAGTTCGGGTTGAATCCCCATAGACCCCATGTTACAAAGTCACAAAAAGTGAAATATCTTTTCTTGTAATCGACAAATAACATTTTCCTTTACTGGACATTTTTTAATTTGCATAACTATTAGATCCATAAAGGTCATATAAAAATTGAACATCTAAAACAGATGTAATTTAGTTAAAGGGAACTTTCTACTATACCCGCCATGCTATCTGACCCAAACGAGCCACCTGGTGGTGAAATTGGTAATAACCTACTCGCATCTGCGGTATTACAATGTTTTATACACCATTAAAAAGCTCAATTCACTGAAAATTGTCATATTGACCTACATGTTCTTTCAAGTCAAAATGAACTTCCAAGTGCTTTAATTTTAGTACAACAGGTAAGAGAAAGTGCTCCACATCATATGGATGTAAACAGAGCTTAATTACGGTATGTGTTATAGTTTTCAAGAGGTGCACGGATTGAATCAATTAATATAGAAAATATAGTATTATAATTCTTTTCTCATTAGTGTTCATTAATACTGGCAATGTAACAGGGCTGTTTCCATAGCTATAATTTTGAAATCTTAAAATGGCAGCCTTTTCAGTTGTTTTCTTTTAACTATTTCAAAACCCCCAAAACTTGTAGGACAATATAGGAAATCAGAAGTCCATTCAGGCTGTTTCAGCAATACTTGCCTTTAAATTGCAATGTTAAGTTCTGTTTTCTCTTTTCTCAAAGTTATACGATGGACTTTTAAAATTCTTTGTTTCCCATCAGGTCAAAAATGAAGATCGTCTTGCAAGCAAGGTAAAAAAACAAGCAGGGAAAATAAACACAGAATATTTACGTATTTTTGCAACTGGCTTTGTATAAAAAACCTCCTACCTCATACCCACCTACCTGGGACATGATACAGTCATTGAAGGGTTCAATTTTAAAGATTTTTAAATCTCAAAATAGCTCAAATTATTAACATTTCTACATTTCCGGCTTTATTTTATGACTAGATGGATGACAGATCCATAAATAAAGGCATATGGGTGTATTGTAATGTGTAATGACCCGAGGGCGCCCCAGGGGAATAACTAACTAACTAACGACCGCGAGCATAGGTCCAACAAGTCAGAGGCCTTGTTAAAAAAACCTCCTACCCACGTACCCTAGTACCCACGTACGTGGGTCCTGACCCAGTCTTTAAAGAGTTAAATTTTTAAATGTTTAAAACATTATTCAATCTCAGTTTATCCTGAATTATAGATGAATTTATGCATCCATATGCCTTTATTTATAGGTCTGACATCTCTCTAGTAAAATAAAATAAAGCCGGAATTGCATAAATGTTCATTATTTTTGAGCTATTTGATTTATGTTTTTGATATGTCGAAATGTTTTTTGTTGATCGGGACTTGAGCCTAGATTATTGGCCTTTTACATCTACTGCAGACCTAAGTCAAATTACATCTAAATTACATATGGACTTACCTTAGGCATGGACCTATATCCTGTTCAATATAACGTATATAAAGGCAATCTAGGAGTATAACATATTTCCAATGTGAATATTCAGACTTCTTCCGGGAAGTTTAGGCGGCTAATAACTACACGTGCATGACGCGTGAGATTCAAACTCAATAAAACGTGGATCTGCGCATCGATCTTTGTAATGTTATTTAGATTGTCATAGATATAATTACACTTCATTTATACAAAATTCTATATACATTATGGTAAATTAAAAGGTATAGGACTACTAAAAGTATGACTGACAAAAATACTAAATATATGCGCTTGGTCGAATTTGCGCCAAGCAATAGATTGGTTGTACACTGTAAGACTGCCCGATCAACAAAAAATCGCTTCGATATATCAAAAACAACACTCAAATAGCTCAAATGAACATTATGCAATGCCGGCTTTATTTTATGACGAAACAGATGTCCGATCTAGAAATAAAGGCATATGGGTACATAAATTCATCCATAATTAAGCATACATTGAGATAGAATAATGTTTAAAAAATGTTAAAGATTTAACTCTTTAAAGACTGGGTCAGGACCCACGTACGTGGGTACGAGGGTACGTGGGTAGGAGGTTTTTTATACAAAGTCCAAGTCAGATAAAGAAATTGAAAGAAAGTGTGCTAAATTTGATGCAACGAGTGGGAATCGAACCCAGCTGGGCTGTAGTAGCAACTTGCTATCAAGGGTCGTTATAAATGCATCTATAATTCATCATAAACTAAGATTTAATAAACTAAGATCTTTAAAATTGAACCCTTCAAAGACTGTATCATGTCCAACGTACATGGGTAGGTGGGTATGAGGTAGGAGGTTTTTTATACAAAGCCTTTGCAACTTGCTATAGATGCTACAATGCTATAGGGAGACATGAAGGATTATAAGTGAACATTTTACCATGACTACACTCCGACTTTAAACTCTATCTTAACATTCTATCCATCCAACTGTATAAATATAAATACAAAATAGAATTGGGAATAATCTCCAAATCTAGATCTCTAATAAATTTGAACACAATCTCCTCAATTATGAATGTAAGAGTTCTCATGTATAGAATCATCATATGATTCTGAGCATTATGTACCTCATATTGAAATATGTTACCACAGTGATTATTGGGAGCACACATTTCCATGTGGACACATCCACAAAGATCTGAAGATAGACATCATCAACTTGATGTCCAACACCACATTTACTTAAAATCAGATACTTATAGACTGATATCACATGCCGCCATTATTGTGAGTTTCTCCAATCATCTGATTACCAAGGGATGATGCTTGATAAAACTCCTGACATTTGTACTCTTTACTGCTGAATCAAGATTTCATTCTCACTAAGGAATATTTTCGACTTTCTATTGCACATTCAGATGGGTTCTATGAATCTTGCATTTGCAGAAAGATACAATTATTAGATAACTCTTATTCAAAGGATCATCAAACTCCCATGCAGTGTCTCAGAATAGATGTTGAAGACTAGCACTGCCACTGAGTTCGAGGTTTCATTTGTCCTATTTCCCACTTTTTTTAGGAAAAAATCTTGTGTTTGTTTTCTGGAAAAAGCGGGAAATCATGCACGCACGCTGACGGGAAACAAGAATTTAAGTCCATTTGCCTCATTTTCAATCATGGTTTTTCTGCTTTGTAAGTACCAGAATTGCATATAAGCTAGAATAAGATATTAGCAGTTCTATGTTTCTAATACTGGATAAGGTTTCTAAATGCTTTTTCTATTCTGCAGGTAGCCGTATCAAGTACATGTAGTTCGGAAGAAAGATATATGGTAAGAGTTACAGCTGAAATACAGCCAATAAGCCTTAATTATACCCAATCTTTTTAATGGAAATAGTTACTTTATCCAGATCTCCGTGGGAAATAGATTTTAGACAGTCATATGTTGGATTGTGGCTATTGTCTTAAGATTTAAAAAAGGTGCATATGTTAGGCCAACGCATTATTTAAAAGAAAAGTTAAAGTACTCATAGAGATGATCAAATAATTTGGACTTGGAGACAGGGAAGGTGCAAACACCCAACCAATTTTTTCAAAAATGTTTTCCTGATTTTCATCCCCTTCCATTTGTGTTTTTTCAATGTTTTATGCATTAATATGTTGCATTTGTAGATACAGTTAATCTTTTAAAAGGGATAAAGTAAAAATATTTCCCATGTTATTTTCGCATAGGGAAAACTCAGGCGATCCATTGTTTTCAGCTTAATTTTGGTCACCCAGGATTGAAATCTCTGTTTGAATCCTACTTTCCTTCTAAGAGGTTAACTGTGTCTCCAAATGCAAATACACTGAACATTGAAAAAACACGAGTGGAAGGGGACGAAAATCAGAAAAACATTTTTGAAAAAGAAATGTTGGTAGGGTGTTTGCACCTTCCCAGTCTCGAAGTCCAAATTATTTCATCATCTCTTAAGTGCTTGTCCTGAAGTTAATGATTGGCCTATAACATAAGCACCTGTTCAAATCCTAAGAAAATAGCCAAAATCTAACAAGTGACTGTATGAAATCTGTTGCGATACCTTCCACGGTTCTTTATTTATTTACACTTATTATTCACTTCGATTTTATATCAATATCAGCAATAAAACAACCAATCAAATAGATATATCTAACAGAACTTTTCCTTAATGGATCACTTAAAAGTCTTCATTCAAGTTTATTAACAAAGTTTTTGAAGGAAACCCCCACTTCGAATACTATACTACATGTACTAGTATACAGTGTACAGAATCTTTAAAGGTGCAGTACATGTACAATTACATTAAGTTACATTCACTTTTTATTCTCATACCAAGTGCAATAGGTAAAATTTGAGAACAAATATAAAAATATTATTAAAAAACAAATATCCTAATAAAATACATCATGTAAATAAAAGATCCCAAAGAAAAGAAAAGTTAACATTATTTATAATAAAAGCATCAAACTTCATTTTTAGGCACACGTGGTGAAAGAGGAATCAGTAACTGGGCCTGGGTCTCCAGGGCCCGGACCACCTATCTATGACTTCTGGGTTATATGTAATGAGAAATCGGAAAATTCAATTAAGAATGCAACATTCATCGTAAAACGACTAGAGGAAAATGGGCTCTGTGGATATTTCTCAAAGAGGGATTCAACAACAAAAGAACCTTCTTTGAATGAAATTCCAGATTCCATTAAGAAATGCAAATACTACATCGTGCTCTTTGATGAAGATTTCAATGATGACAACTACAACGTATTCGCATCCGAAACAATTTTCCGACTTCTTGTTAATACCGGAGAGCTACCAAGATTCATCCCCCTGGTGATTGGTGTTGAAAGGCAACAGGTAGTGCCAAATTACATCCCGAATTTCTGCCTTGAGTTTGAAAAAGATCTGCCAAATAACACCAAGCAGTTCATGAGATTGGAGAATACACTGAAAGCGCCAGTCCCACAAACAACATGGGGTTTTTAATTTTGTTAGCCACCAAAAGGCATAACTGAACTGGACACGACAAAAAAAATTGCTTTGTTATACTACTATAGTATATTATACTGATTTTGCTTAATCTCCTCCAATGTCAAATTAAGAACAAAATAATAAGAAATGACCAACTGCTTCAACATCAACAAATAAAGTTCTAAACTTGGAACTGCATTAGAAACCAATCTTTCTGTTCATAAAACCAAAAACTCTGGATTTAATAAATATTAATCACTGTCGTATAAATAATTTGGAATATGCTCTATCTATAATTCTGCAATCAATTAATCAAGATGGATTACTTCTCATAGACTTACTACTTGAAAAGTTAATTAACTCACCACATGTATTGCTTAAATTCTACATAAGAGTTGGGTAATCACTGGAGCTGAAAATAATGGACAGAGTACCAAATGCATATGAGGACAAAGGCGCACCAATCCAGCAATAGTTATCAATGGATACACAATGACTACAGACAGTTTTAAAAGCTATTTTGGAAAGCTCACAGATTGAATACCTACCATTACATCAAAACATTGTCATAGTTGTTGAATCAGTCAACATAAGGCTGGACTTAATGGTGTTCCCTCTGGCTGGGTGTTTTCGAAATAAGTTCGATCCTTGCAATTTAAAATTTCGACAATGGCATTTTTTTCCCCTGATTTTACTACATACCCTGGCTCAGACAGCTCTGTATGGTTGAGATATCAGGTGAATGACATCATGCCACTAAACCTTCTTTTATTGTTTTTTAACTGGAATCTTATTTTTGCTCAAATCTAATTTGGATGGATTTTTGACCTGTCATGGAATTCTGTAGTTGTTGGGGTGATATAGAAAAGTTGATTCAAATATGCAATCAGTCTGTTCAAAATGTAATAGGGGTACATCTAGGAATCCTTAGGGGAGGGGGTTCAAATTGACAAATATAATTAAACCCCTTTTATGGGACATTTTCAACATTTTCAAGTTACACTTTTGATAAAATTTTGGCCTTTTTTGTCTAAAAAAATTAAATTTTTAAAGAAATTCAGGTCATACAGTTCTTAAAAAATTCCCATTCTGGCCTATTTTGTAAAAGTTCTGAAGGCCCAAACTTTTTGGGCCTACCTCAAGATCCCTCCCCTGGTGTTTCATGTATGTTCACCATCAGATAGAAGTTAGATGCCCAACACTTTATGTCTTGATTTTGCACCTAATAAAATTCTTTATAGCACAATATACTTTTCCTGTGTTTTACAAAATATATAATCCTGAGGAACATTTTTGGGACGATTTAGTCTTGCATCAAGACCCTTTTTTATTATAAAGAAAAGGAGAGGTCATAATGCAAGACCATCAAGCTATTTAGATTTTTTGGATTGATACTTGAAACTGTATATTATTTGTTATTTGGAATGTTAAAACAATATTTATATTATTTATTATTTCACACTCCCTTGCTCTATGGAATATTTAGCATATATGAGATAACATATATCAGATAACAAAATGGAAAATACCAGGAAAACAAAGAAAAAAAGAACACCTTAAGACCATATCAACCCCCTCCTTTATTAATTGCTGATAATTAAAATTGATGAATTTGATAACTATCAAAACTATTGCTTTTATCGCTAAAAACATTTTGGGTGTGGAGTCGATGTTCAGAGAAAAAGGCACAGATGAAATTAGTCTATTGAAACCCCATGTATCAGCTAAAATTGATAAAGAAGGAGGGAAAGTATTGCAACAGATTTCGGACAGTCATATGTTGGATTTTGGCCATTTTCCGAGAATTTAAACAGGTGCATATGCTAGACCAATGCATTACCTCCAGGAAAAGCACTCATAGAGATGATAAAATAATTTCGACTTCGAGACAGGCAAGATGCAAACAACCCACCCACATATTTTTTCTGAAATGTTTTCCTGATTTTCAACCCCTTCCATCCCTGCTTTTTTAATTTTTGTTGCATCAATATGTTGTGTTTTGACACACAGTTAACCTCTTTAAAGGAATAAGTTTTTAACTTCCCATCTTCTAAGATAGCTGTTTCAAGACACACTGACATCTGAAAATAGGACCAAAATAGGTGCTCGCAGAATAATCAGCAATTAAATGGTAAGTTAAATTCAATGCATGTAAAACTGGCCTCCGAATCAATGAATATAAGAGATAAGGCTGTAGGGGCTTTTAAAGATCTTATTATACACATTTTAGAAAGTCAAAAACTAAACATATATCTGTCATTTAAAATATCTAAATGCATGAAACTTCATTCAAGTTTAACATCAGATGGATGGCTGAGTGGTTTCTCTATAATCTCATATCTTGTTTGGTAGGATAATTATCCCTGAAAGGTTCATGGAAGATTGAGCAACAGATTTTTGAAATCTGATAATTTTTTGCGAGTAGTTTCTGACTGTACAAAATAATCCATATGAAAGGCCTATCTTCCGTGATCCTTTATGCTTTATATGATCATATACTTATTAGATACTAACCTTGACACTTTAATACAGTCATGCAGTAATGAGTAAGAAATGGAGGGGAAACCTTGCAGGTTATTATCTCTTGATGAATCAGAAAAGGAATTTAAGTTATTATTATGCAATTTGTCTCATTATCTCTTTTCAGGAACTGGTTACTGGGAATGAGGGAGAGATATCATGTCACCCTGATTATGACTTTTGGATGTTATATAACAAGAAATCTGAGGGATCTGCTGATAAAGCTTTATCAATCACTTCCAGATTAGAAAGCCAGGGACTTAGAGGGTATCTATCTGGGAGGGACTCCCCTGGCAAAGCACCACTCCATCAAATAAAATTGGATGATGTGCTTAAACCTCTCACAAAGTGCAAATATGTACATCACTGTTTTGTTTGACGAGGATTTCAAAAAGGATAATAATTTCCATGAATATAAAATGGAGTCTGTTTAGAATCTGATTTATACAGAAGAGCTGCCATAATTCATTCCTTTGGTGATTGGTGTTGAAAAACAAAAGGCAGTGCCAAAATATATCCCAAATTTCTGCCTTGTATTTGAAAAAGATTGGAAAACTGATGAGAAACAATTTCAAAGACCAGAGTTAAACTGGGGACTTTAACCTTTAATTTCATATAAAAATGGCCTCCATTTTTTCAGAATTGTCAACAAATTGAGCAAATTGAGATAATGCCTCATGCTTCCAAGTACTTAGATATAATCCTACTTCTGTATCATAATATTAATATGTAATACTGTTTTTTTACTAAATTAGAATTGTGCCAAAGATGTTCATCAGTTTAAGTTCAAAACAATATTAACTGAGGATTCCTCTTTACTAACCTTAAATAGCAAGATTGTCAGAGCTTTCAAATGCAACTGCACCTTTCTTCAGTAACATTCTATCGTTTGATCTCCCGCCAACCCCGCTGTCCTTGACCTTGACCTTAACCTCAGCCTCATTGTAAGAATGATTTGTCTATGAGATAACCTGACACTCTATTCAGCTGAACATTCGTATGTCATGGGTCATAGAATCAATTTTAACAATTATAGCATTATTGATAGTGATCAAACAATAGAATGTTACTGAAGACAGGTGCAGTTGCATTCAAAAGCTCTGATAATCTTGCTATTTAAGGTTAGTTAAAAGAGGAATCCTCAGTTAATAAATTAGGATTACTGAAATAAGTTGCGTTGTTTAAAGGGTTCCGATTAGCATCCCGTATAAAAACAATATGGCGGCTCCAGGCGAATCAACTGGATCAGTCCATTTTTAAGAAATAAGGGGAGTTCTGTAAAATCCAGTTTATTGAAATTGTCTTTGGGATAAAGTAATCCGTTTATAACGATTTTGAAAACGTTATCCAAAGAGTGATTGCGTTCAAAGAATACATGTACAACAGCCAATATGAAGCCTTGTATTAGAAACCGGTTTGTCTTGCTTTGTTTCATTTGTAGGATATTTCATATGCCAAGCTGTGTGCTATTACGTTATGGGGAAATTTAGATGCCAATTTTTCCTTATTATACACAAATAGAAGATCCTGAAACTTCACCCATAAATGTGGAATTGATTTGTCAAAATAAAAATCACCCTTTTATAAATGTGTGACGATCTATAATATACTTATGCTATATAACAGTTAGAGGTGTTGACACAACGAGCTCGAACCTGTGAACCCTTGAGTATTATTCCGGGATCGGGCCTTTTATACTAAACGGTGAGCAACACCAGAAACGAGCGTTCGATTTGCTAAACGATATGCGTCACCCTTTAACATATATATTGAATAGGACACTGGCAATCTAGGGGTATTATCCTCACCTAGGATGGAATCTATTTTAGTGAGAAAAAAACAAATGGAAATTACCAATCTGGCACTTTAAAAATAACTTAAAGCATTGGTTTTATAAAATAATTTTTAAAAAATTTGTCAAATTTATATTTGCTTTTTATTGTCGGCCATTTTACCTATCACTCATTTGGACCACAATAACATGTGAGCCCAGTACCCATGGTACTATTTATTTATGTTTTTTTGCTATAACTGGAAAAGTAGTTGAGTGATTTTGTTTATCTAAGAATTCTAAGAAAATACTAACAGTAACTGTCAAACATTGCACTGAACTGAAAGATAAATACACAATACAATACACTGGGCGAAGTGACCAAATATAAACAATTTTAATCACAAATAATCAGTGAATAAATGATTATTATCTGGTTAAAACCTATTATCGAGACTATTATTGCTGGTTATCGCTGATTATCGAGACTTATTAATCAAAAATAAGCAGTGTTTTCACTGGTTATTAGGATAATCAATTCTTATTAATGTGTAGCCAATGGCAAAAATTCCAACTGATTATTATGTCAAGTGATTATTCCCCCAACTGATTATCGCTTTGTTTTCATTAGCAATTAAGAACCGTCTGCTATTTATGCGTCTAGTGCTTCCAATTATTATCCGTTAAATAAACAAACTATAGCTTTTGTCCAGCTAAAGAATATGAGTTTTTGCAAAATTGAATTTTTCATTCAAATATCTTTTTCAATTCATTATCAACCAAACAAAAAATAAAAGAAACACATTTTTAGAATTTCATTTAATGTTAGATTTTATTTAGCTGTCCAACTTCAATTACCGGGATTCGAGATTTTTCATTAGCAATTATAATGCAGCAGATTTCTGCAATTCAATCAATAGTTTATACTAATTAGTAGTAATTAAAGAATATCACCAAGAAAATATTTTATCATCGTGTAGAAAGTCCAATCCAAAATCTGGTAAATGTGTTGCATTTATAGAAGCAATAACGTTGTGATACCACTGTAAAACTATAATTAAAATGTTTGATATGAAATTCGATTGTCGGGAATAAGAAATACACGTCAATACTTTTACATAATATCCAGTGTATTGAAATAAGATGTTATAACAAAGGCAATTGAAAAACTTCAATCTCAGTGAAACTAGTAGTGAAACTCCCTAAATCTGTTAAAGGGAAGCCTTCATTCAAGCACTGAAAATTAAGTTTAAGAGGAGGAATTCAGTATCCCGTGTGTTTACTACCCCCTCCCGTCCTCAATCATTTAGCTACATGTATGCTCCAATGTGTTTCATTTCTGTGTTTTAATAAATGCAATCAATATGATAGTTCTATATTACTCATTATTACTGTAGAGCAAATGTGCGCAAGGTTAAATTTTAATCTTATTGAATTGTGTTAATTAGTTGCTTGGATGGTAGATTGTTTGTTTGCTTGTTTATTAGCACGATTGATTGCTTGATTGGCCGTTTACTTGCTAACATTCTTTCTTTGTTGCCTTGCTGCTTCCTTGGTTTCTTGCATTAGAGTTTTATTAGCTACTTGCTTGGTTGGTTTGTCGGTTGTTTGCTTGCTTTATTTGTAAGTTGTAAGTTGCATGGTTTGCTTTTTACTTGCTTAGTTTCCTGCTTGCTTAGATGGTCGTTTGCTTGGTTGCTTTGTTGGTTACTTGCGTGGTTGGTTGCCGAGTTATTGATTTGAAACTTTCTAAATATCCATAGGCGTAGCCAAGGAGGAGGGGGGGGGGGGTTGCGAAAACCAATAAAGATTAAAAACCCTGAGAAAGAGGACTCAAAGAGTTTTAAATGCTTTTTATTTGAAGCTTCTAGCTCACTTTGGGAACTTGCATCCAGTTTTTGTAAAATTCAATATAAAAATCATTTTTGGCTTGTTTATGTCATAATCGCACTCCCTTGTTTATGTCACAATCACACCCCCCCCCCCCCCCCCGACTGAAAACCGAAATATTTTTGGCAATCACACTCCCCCCTGACTGAAAGTAGGCTACGCCCCTGATATCTGTTATTGTGTTATAACAATAAACTATATTTATATTGTGAGTATTTATGGGTTTTAATAACACTAGGCTTTATACGTGTATAATTAATCAAATTTAATATTTATCATGTTGGCTAAATCGTTTCAAGTGAAGAATTAAGAACTGTAATGGGGGTTTGCTTAGTTTGAGCCAGGGAACAAAATGCAATCAGACGGACGGATTAATTAATATTTGTTTTGATAAATAAGTATTATAGCTTATAGGCAGTATCATGGGAACCAAGTAATCATGTATAGGATTATTTTTTGTTTACTTCAGAATTAAGTGAACCATCTGTAGTTTTAAAAACAAGGATCAATAAATACATCTGATCAAGATCACCTCGTTTACACCAGTACTGCATCCATGACCAACCGTTATGTGCAGTGGACACTGCTAAGTACTTAGGTGTAAACATCAGTAACACCTTATCTTGGAATCCTCACGTGTCTGCTATCACCAAGAAAGCCAACTCCACCCTGGGCTTCCTCCGTCGTAACATCAGCTCCTGCCCCAGCAATGTGAGGAAACAAGCATACACCACCTTTGTTAGACCACAGCTGGAATATGCCTCTTCCGTATGGTCCCCTTACACGAAGAAGGCAATCGGGCAGGTGGAGGGAGTACAGCGACGAGCAGCCAGATTTATAACACAAGATTACAGACAAACCAGCAGCCCTACCACCATGCTGAGGAATCTGCAGCTGCCACCACTACAAGACAGACGTAATTTGACAAGAGTAGTCATGCTTTACAAGATAGTCCACCATAAGGTAGCCATTCCACCAGCGGCATACCTCGAGCCAGTAGGATCTGTGACCAGGGGTCACAACCTACGCTACCTTGTCCCATCCTCAAGAGTAGATTTACATCTTTACTCATTTTTCCCTGCAACCATACGACTATGGAACCTTCTTCCAGCAAATGTAGCCATGATCGATTCCCTGGACATTTTTAAGAAGGAGGCAGGGAGTGTGATGCTTTCGTACTAAGTGATGACGATTTTAAAACGATTTTAGACATTTTAATGCACACTCACACTACAATTGTATATACACCGCACGCAAGCACACATAGTACGAAATATCCTAAAGAGGAGTCTGTACTGTAATAGAAGAAGAAGAAGAAGAAATATTAGAAATCTATTTTTGACTGGATAAATTCTTGTTCTCGAATGTCAAACAGAACCTTCATTATCTTTATTCATTTGGAACTTTGAATTATTTCAATCAAACGTGTGTGTTGATGCGCCGAGCTAATACTATTAATTGAAAAAATGTTGCAATAGGGGGGGGGGGGGCATTATTGTCTTTATTACATTACTTTTGTACATTATTACATACTCAGTAAACGCGACCCGATCGGGGAGGGGATTCGGGTTGTGCACAGTGCACAATTTGTTATCTCTTTATGCATGTTTTATTGCCAAATTGATATAAAAACAAGCTGGAGAAACATAAGTATTTATTTTGTATTTTGTTACCACATGTCAAAAGGCGCATTTGAAGTTCAGAAAATGTAAGAAGACTTGGCTAGACATTATGTACTTATATATTTATATGTTACGTATTTATTTTGTATTCAATTCGAATTCTGTTCACTCGCACTCCTTGAACCACCCCCACCCCTTGGCTACGGGTATAAGTACTTTCGGCACACGGAGAGAATAACATTAGACTTCTGCAATGCAACTACTGTACATGTAATAAGAGAGACCTAAAATGAAAATAATGTAATGTAAGAATATCACAAAGTTCATTTATTTCATAAAAGCGTCAAGGGACAATGCCTCTAAACACTAAGATAAACAAATTAACTTCAGTAGAAACATCCTGTTGTGGAAAAGACAAATGGCTTTTTATAACGGATTAAAATAGCCAGTCTGTCTAATTGTATAATATATTAGATACATTTTAAATTCCTTTATACTTCTAATCACAGACAGGTTGATCATTTTATTTAGACAAGAGATTGTATTCCAGCAGTGTCATTTGTAATTAGCCCTTTGAAGTTTAATCAATCACGATAATCAGTTGGTCGGTTATTCAGTAAAGAAAAAAGTGATTATCGCCAGGCCATGCCTGTTGCCATTGTATCTAGCCTTTAAAAGTTATAATTTGGTCAGGATCAGACTGTGTCTGGTTATTAATGATTATTCTAAAAAATTAATCGCTGATTATTATGTGTTAATTCCAACCTGTTTGTCTAGTGATACATACAATACAATATTGCTTTATGTCTTAATTTATTGTTACAATTTATTATTTCAAAAAATATGTCTCTGATATAATTGGTTATGGGTCACGTAATATCTGTAAAATATTTGTCTATTAGAAGTAAAAATATAGCACTGTATGTATTATATCTATTATTACCTATTACATGTATATATGAAAAGCTACAATCCAAGGGTTTGTAATAATATTGCACTTTTTATCATGAAAGGTCCTTCCATTAGTCCTAATACATGTACTTCTAGTTCTATTCTCTTTAGTAAAACTTGTCAAGCAGAACACTTTTCACCAGAAACAATGGTGTTCTTCTTACACTGGCTTCACTATATATCATTGAGTGACTCCACATCATCAAGGCCTCATACAAGTAGCTGTCTGCACAACTTTATTCTTACATATAATATCAAGGTTATACTGCACTTCATTGTTATCAAGTATCATTCATTATGGACATATGTTTTAGTTTAAACATTATCAGGCCTCAGTTGCCAGAAATCATCCTCCACATCTTTTCTATTACAGACCAGTTCCATGCATGCAATATCCAGAATTATATTGCACATTTTATTATCAAAATGCTTGGTATCAAATATGTTCACATGTGGCTATATACTTATATGTATATGATTACACCCATATATGTCATCATATATAGGCATTAACTGAGAGGTAATTTAACACACATATCCTTGCAGACCTGTTTTACACACATAAGGAGATGTCTCATGTCATCTCCACTCAAGTCTCCAATATTCCCAATTCTGAAGCAATCAGCATCATTCACCTTCCCTGGATAGATCACTTGTCCTAAAATTCACACCGAAAAATCTGGTAATTCTGAAATTGTCAAACTGTACATAGGCCTACTGTATATTTTTATTCCCTTGAAATCAGCAACTCTTAAATTGCTGCATGTTCCAAAGGTAACAAGAAGGTCATTGATATGAAGCTTGCAATAGATTTATTGACGCAAGCATTTGGACCAAATTGCAGAAAAAAATTGCAAGAGCAAAAAATAAAAAATGTATTGATCATATTGAATATTTTTGTCATTCATGATGTACAATTGAAATAATGTCATTTAAAGAGAAAATAACAAAAATCGAAATCAAACAAAGAACAAGGGAACAGAAACTCTAAATTAACATGCAAAGGTGATCCAAATGTTGACAATATAAACTTACTAAAATAGTAAAATGGTAAAATACAAATATTTGCATGATTATTACCATGGTTACCATGGAAGCATTCACTGTCAACACTCTGGGCCACTCTGCATAATTTCTACTTACCCAGATCACTTAATTTGCTGTAGAAATCGGTGAATGTGAACTGTGGATCACTGGGCATATAGAAAGAAGTAATGATGTAGCCTGTATGTTCATCACTAAGGAATTCTTTGAATCCGAGCTTTGACATTCCATCACGAAGAATGCTGCAATTGTTCTGATACCTATTAGTAATAAAAATAAGTAGAACAAGGCAGATGCTGAACAATATTATACAGGACCTAAAAATCAAATATGGCTGCCTTAACAAAACCTGACTTTAAGTGTTCAAATTTTGAGACAAAGTAAATTTTGAGGTCTACTTTTGTTGCAGGCTTTCATTATGTTGGCTGCATTAAGTCTGAATCTCATGTTTTTACAATTCATAATTTTTTTCATTCCAATTTACTTAATATGGGAGACCAAAATATTTTTGAGACTTCAAAACACCATAACTTCCAAACTTTCGAAGTTTGGTTTGCAGATTCAGATTCCTGAGAAAATTCTACATTTAGGTCATAACTCACACATTGAATTTGGAGAACTTTTTGTTCTGACCTAGTTTCCGGAAGCCATATCTCAAAATCGGTAATCAAAAACGGATGGCATACTTATAAAGGGCTGTTTCTAAGCTACATAATGAAAAAAAGGATGAAGGAGGTATGTTGAATAGTGACGAAGATACAACGAAGAATGTTGAAAATGTAAGAATGACCTAGTTCTTGACCTTTGACCTATATAGATAAAAATCTGACCCAATTTCCTGGCAGCCCAGACACATTACCTAGTTGACCATGCAGGCTGCTTAAAGTAAGCTCTTTTAGTTGACGAGAAAATGTGGGGGTAAGAATAATAAAAAACGTGGGGGCAAGAATAACTAGATTTGTGAAATTGAACAAGTTCAATTTAAGACTCCAGATTTATTTTACCTAGATAGATCAGTAAAGAGCTGAGTAAGTAACTGAGTAATTAGCTGAGTAAGTACCTTAGTAGTAGTTGAGTAAGTAGCTGAGTAAGTAACTGGGTAAAAAGCTGAGTAGGTAGCTGAGTAAGTAGCTGAGTAAGTACCTGAGTTAGTAGCTGAGTGAGTAGCTAAGTAAGTAATAACTAATTAAGCAATTGAGTAAGTAGTCAAATAAGTAGCTGAGTAGGTAGGGAGGTAAAGTAGGGTATGTAGGAATTTTTGAAAGTTTATTCGATCAATCTGCATCGTGAATACTGGCAAGTGCGAATTTCAAACTTCAAAATGGCTTAACTGGGGGTAGGATTGCAATTTTAATTTCAGATCCGGATTCCTTAGGAAATTATGCCCCTAATTCATAACTCATACGTTAAAGGAGGGCGAGTTGTTTGTAGAATGAATCGGGGGATTTTTTTCATGAATTTCGCTTATGTTTTTCATCCAAAAAACATCAATACACTTTAAAACATTTTGTTTACTTTAAGATTACACCATGTAATCCAAAAATATATTTCTCATTTTCAAAGATAATCCATGGATTAACACCCAGGTATTTTTATTTTTCAATCTTCAGAGGGCTGGGAATCAATGATGCTCAACGCTTTTGAATACGATAAATGCTGTTTTAAATAGGTTTTACGTATGACAATAATTTCTCAAAGTATGTAAGCTGAATGCATTCCTTAATCCCTAGAATGCCTATCATAATAACATTCTTTTGTCTTGGCCACTTAATATGTTTTGTTGCTGTCTGATCATCAAATCAAATTGTTGTTATTTAAAGATGTCAGTCAAATCTGGTGAAACGGCACAACATTTACCTAAATAGCACGAGTACATATTATGTAACTCATCCATAATATTTCATGCATCAGGTATTAAGGCTTAGGGGATTAACTTTTACACATAAACTGAACTGACAGATGTGTATGCTTACATGTACAACTTCCAGGATTGTAAGAATTCAAAACTTGTTGATAGCCATATTTTCCTGAATGTGACATATTATGGCATTCACTCGTATGAGTGGTAAAATATGAAAAAAAGCATTTTCATTTAAAATTAGCATAGGATTTGAATTGATGCCAAGAAATGTATTAGTTAACTGTATCCGTTTTACATCCGTTGCAGTTGGCTACATTATAAGAAAAGGCATTCACATGCAAAATGTCAACACCTGCCATTTGTTACAGACACCAACTGCCAAACACCAACTGCCAAATGATAAACACCAACCACTGAACACCGTCCACAAAAAAGTTGTGGTGGTGACATAAGAATGATCATGGAAAATTGTATTTTTTTTAAAAAGTAGGAACTTCTGAGGTTATTAGAAAATTGGAAGACAAGGAAGGATTCTGGCTTTAAGATATTAGGGTTATAAATTGCAATGAAACTAAAACAAAACATTCTTTTTCTCAAATATCACAGTGTATATTCAAATCACAAATACGATATCATACAATTACAATAAGGGTCTAGTGCACTTTCCATTATGATATCCCCATGAACAAAATGAATCATTTTTAGGTGTAACATAAAGAATACAATGTCACATAATACTGTGGAAAATATTTGAGCGTTTGGACCCACATGGGCTGAGGTTGAGGTCATTTAGTTCAGCAAGGGTGTATTGACTTGCCATTGAATGGGCTCTATTGACTTAACATGTGGATATCATCAATTCCAATAGAGGCCATTGGTTTCTATTGATTTTCACAAAAATACAAAATACACTATGACCTGAATCGATTGCAAATTAAATAATTTCACAGTATGACACAAATGGTATATCACATCAGATGTGCAAATATAAAGTTTGCAATCGATTCAGGTCATACTTCAAATTAAAAGATTATACATTTTTTCCATCATTTTTTCCTACAAAATGGCTATAGAAAAATGCTTCAAAAGCAACTTTTACACTAATGAAATCCCATACAACTTTGTAAATCCAAAGATTATACTGTTATGTTTCATTAATTAATAACATATTTGGATAATATGTTGGGATGTGTAGGATGCAAATGGATTTTGACAGACACAAAAAGACTTCTTGGTTTGGCATCTCTACCCCTGTACACTTTATGATTGAATATTGGCCCTAATAAGTGGCCCATTCATCAATACAGTGCTGAATATAGGTCAACAAGATACTAGTGTACATATAAATGTAATAATACCTATAGCTAGGTCTGAATATTAAACTCCAGCCAAATAGAGCCAGCACAATATTTCAACCTTTGTAACCCTTGCAAAAAGATTTTCTTGCAATAAAAATGTGAAAATAGCTTAGAGTACTTGTAAGCCAATCTGATTTTAAGGTAGATATGTCTCGATATTTTCACTAATTTTCATGATTATAAATACCGATAATCAATGAAAGGGACAATATTTTCACATTTGTAATTGTATGTGTATGCATGGTTCATGGTGTATGTTACCATAATTCTTTTTATCCCATACTTGGACGTGTTACAGGTACATAAAGCCGGTTTGTAAAAACTTATATTTTCATCAGCGGGCAGATATAGCTATACGTCCCGCTCTGAGTGGGCAGATATAGTATATCTGCCCGCTACGTCAAAATCGCCGCTCGCATATTTGTTCATTATTTGTAACGTTCGCGTAATGACTGTACACGACAATGGAGAAAACACAGACAATCGGGATCTGTTTGATGGTTTAAAAAGGGAAGGAGCATCCACTTAATCAATCAAAAATTCGAGAAAATAAATGTGGGAATATTTGAGGGAACAGGAAAACCCGCCCATGGCCAAGAAAACAAAACTGGACATGAATATTCTAAAATATTTCCACGATTGAACAATGTGAACCAGATGACCAAGATTGGTATGGGATAAACATATTATCCTATAGTCGGTTCAGGATATTGGGATTATCCCTTGGCCAATATAATATATTTTCCCTCGGGACCTGCGGCCCTCGGGCAAATATATTATATTGGCGACGGGATAATCCCAATATCCTGAACCTCATATAGGATAATCTCTATATATCCACTTAAAATGTCAAAAATATTGCCCAATTTATAATTATCAGATAATTTATTCATCACCAAAATTAGTAAAAATTATCAACATGCAGAACTACCTTAAAGAGTTTAATCTCTCACTCAGTCACAATTATGTCAACCAAAACTGTACTTGTATTACATAATATAGGATTATACAGCTTACCATACGTGTGCAATCCATATAGCATCCACACTGACATCTTTACAGAATCATATATAATTTTTGAATATAAACTAACTCAACCCAATAAGGCGAGTACTAAAGAATTTACTTACCTGCCATCTAAAAATCTGCTTGGAACTACCATTGGATTACCATTGCATTCCTCCAAGAGGGATTAAGGAGTGCATTCAGCTTACATAATTTGAGAAATTATTGGCATACGTAAAACCTATTTAAAACAGCATTTATCGTATTCAAAAGCGTTGAGCATCATTGATTCCCAGCCCTCTGAAGATTGAAAAATAAAAATACCTGGGTGTTAATCCATGGATTATCTTTGAAAATGAGAAATATATTTTTGGATTACATGGTGTAATCTTAAAGTAAACAAAATGTTTTAAAGTGTATTGATGTTTTTTGGATGAAAAACATAAGCGAAATTCATGAAAAAGATCCCCCGATTCATTCTACAAACAACTCGCCCTCCTTTGGAGAACTTTTTATTTTGACCTACATTTCGATCACCAGATCTCAAAAGTGGGCCTAAAAACTTCTTGACGGCAAAAAGTTAACATTATAAGCACACTCTTTGCTACATGTATACAAAATTTTGAAGAATATCATTGAAGTGTAGTGTCCGAATTGCAAAAATAAGAAAAAACTAAGAATTTGACCTAGATTTTGAACTAGGTATTTTGGTGTCCAAATTTTGAAGGAAAGTAGCTTTTGAGGTCCCCTTCTTTTATGGGCTTTCATTATGTTTAGCTGTACTCATTCTATATCTTGTATTTTTACACTTCAAAAAATTATTCGGTCCCATTGATTTAACATGGGGCACCAAATTTAGCGATTTTTGAGCTTTCAAAACATCATAACTTCTGAACAAGATGTCGAATCGAAATTTGGGTTGCAGATTCGGATTCCTGATAAAATTCTACCCCTAATTCATAACTCATACGATAAATTTAGAATTTTTTTATTTTGACCTACTTTTTGGACACGCCATAACTTCCGAACCGGAAGT